TAAGGCCAGTAACTCTGGAGATCTTGTCAATTTGACACCCGTTCTCATGGTGATTACAGAGCTAAAAGCGCAAGATATGTTGATATCGTTGAACCTTTTAAATGTTTGTTTAGCGTAGGTAACACAAATAGTCTGCCACTTGAGGTTGTGAAGCTCTCTTGCTGTAAACCCTTTCTTTGTTGCATAATTTTCAAACTGTGCCACTTGTCGTCGTACAAGCCACGAAGTTGAGTAACGTAGACGCAAGCGTGACTGCTTTTGCGCCCTGGCAGAATATCCTCTCTTGTTTAAACACATTTGTATACAGTCCATACGTGTAGTTGGAACATTGCTGGGTTTCCGCACTTGTTTGGTGTGAGGATGAATTAACAGGTTTTGGCGGCTTTGGGTAGCTCCAGTATTGTTTGACCGATTTCTTGAATTAGTATGGGAAACCACGTTCTGGCCGCCAGTAGGGCCACCAAAGTGAGTTGTAGGCTCTGTGTTTGTCTGATTTTCTGTAATACTTGAGGTATTATTGCTGGCGGCGGAAACGCGCACGCATTGAGGCCTTCCCATGATAGACTTAGAGCGTCCGCTGCCCAAGCTTGGGGTCTGGGACTGGTGACGTAATGTCGGTAGCTGATTGTTGAATCGCGTGGCGAATAGGTCTATTAGCGGCGGCCTAATTGCTTGATTATCTGTGCAAAATTTCCCGGTTGATCATCCACTCTGTCGGTGATGGTAGATGAGGCGAGAGAGAGAGCGCCTGCTAGTATATTTCTGGCTCCGGAATGTGCACTGCTTTGACAAGTAGATTTAGATCTTGTATTAAATCGAACAGTTGAAAGCTTAGGTTCAAAAGGTTCATCGATCTCGTTGAGCCTTGCTTGTTTATGTAGAACGCCACTGTCTAATTGTCTGTATGGATCATTAGGCTGCATTTTGTAGAAATGTGCTCCAATGTAGAATGGCGTTGATTACAGCTTTCATTTCTAGACTGTTTATATGGAGTTTGCATTCTTGCTGATTCCATAACCCTGATATCGATGTGGTTGGTGAGATGAGCTCCCCAACCTTGGAGTGACGATCTACATACAGATGGGTTTTGTATTCCTGCTCTGCTAAACAAATCCCTTCGCAGACATTCGATTTCTTGGTCCACCATAGTAGATGTGGTCTGAGATGTTTGGTAGACTGAATGGTTGTACATCGTTGAGATGTCGCTGATGAGGACCTGTAGGGACGTAACTGTAATCTGCCTGTGACAGTCATGTCTTGGGCTGATGTGAGAAGACCTTAGTAGGCTCTGCCATTGTCGCAGTGGTAACGGAGAGAGTAGAGCTGGTGGAATGGTCTGTTGTATCTCTTGAGCCAACGGTCTTCTGGTACCATAATACGGTTCGCGATTTGTGATGAATCGAATACCTAGGAACTGTAGGTCTTGCGATGGTACTAGGTCCGACTTTGCGTAAGTTTACTAACCAACCTAGTTGTGTTAGTAGCTTTATGATGTAATTTAACTGTAGTTTGAGGACGAGTGGATCTTGATCTACTTGTATCCCGTCGTCGAGGTAAAACGCGACTCGCGAGCTCCCTTGACGATGTAGAAATTTGATAATCGGTTTCGTTATCCTCCGTGTGAATAGCCAGGGGCTGATGATATTCGAATGGAATTACTTTCCACTGGTAATGTAGCCCTTCTAGAGTAAATCGAGGTATTTCCTGAATCGGGATGAATGGGGATGTGCAAGTAGGCATCCTGTAGATCTATGCTGCCCATGTAGTCCATAGGACGAATCATCTGGCTTAACTGAGGTAAATGTATCATGCGAAACTCGGGTGGTTTGCGTGAGATAGTTCTTGTTGAAAAGCTCATGTTGTAGATGAGTCTGTATTTCTCGTGGAGTTTTTCTTGGGAACTAGGAAAACTGGGGAGTAGAAACCTGGTTCGACGTTTGCTTGATCTATTACTTCTATGGCCTGTTTGGATAGGAGTGATGAGACAGCCTCTTTTATCTTTGGTAGTTGTTGCGCTTGTAAATCGAACTTGGGGGGTTTGATTGTCAGCGGAGGCTTGTCCTGTAGAGGGATACGAAATCCGTGTTGAATAATGTTGGAGACGTAGGGATCTTGCAGTATTCCCCAGTTTTCCCAGTGTAGTTGGAGGCGCCCACCCACTTGAGCTGGTTGTACTGGAACGGCTGGGGTGGAAGACTCCAGTCGTTCAACCTGTGTTTCAGCGCCTATAGTGCGGGAACCTCTGGGTGTCCTGCCTCTTCCTGATCCTCCTCTATAGTTGCCATATGGGCTTAGCCGAAAAGAATCTTTACCTCTAGAGCTGGCTATCTTCCTGTCTCTTGCTCTTTGTAGGCCCGTGAACTTAGATCTGCCTGAGTATCTTTGTGAAGTCTGACCTAATGGCGCTGGCTAGTGTGTCCATCGATCTAATCATAAGGACTTCCCTGGAATCCTTAGAGACTTCCTTGGCGACCTTGTCGATTTCTCCGCCAAAGATGGATGTTGTCGACCACGGGCTGTATAAAGTGGGGCTGTAAAGTTCTCCCCAATTACAGGAGGCTGAGGAGGCCTTGACGACGAAGCTAAGGTCAGTGCTGCTGAAACAGATGTAAGATGATCCGTTAAAACTGCTGATCTTTCTTTTGCATAAGTAAGGCAGAATAAATCATCTCTATCATCTTCCGTCGTGGAATCCCGGAATCTAGTAATAAGAGTCTCATTGATCGTCCTAGATCTATTTAACCCAAAGAACATCGCCTCGCCATGGTTTCTATATGAGTTTCAACTTATGCATCATCCATCTTGTAAATCTTGTTCTTTACATCGCTGATGATCTTATAGTTCTCATCGATGTCCTGGGCCTTGTAGAAGGAGTCCATGTTATCGTGGAGAACTTCTTGGCTTGAAAGTTGGGTAGATGTGGTATCTGAACTTTCAGTAGCTTTCTGGAAAGCTGCATCTAGATTCTGTGGCACTGCCGCAATCGGGTCGATCGGGTAGAGTGATTGCATCTGGATCATCTTCCTTCATCAAACACGCCTGAGCTGTATTGCCACTTTTAGATGGTGATGTGAGATCTAGGTTATTGACCATCCAATACCGTATCTCTGCATCAGAAAATATGATTCCTCCATCATCCTCAAAACCATCATCATTAATAAATTGTAGATGCTCTTGGGACTGCGTGTAGCTATCTGAATATCTGATGAGGTTTGTGGCGATCTAGTTGACTTGTGCTAGCGCTTCTATGTGGAGATCTGATGGGTGATCGACCTGGTGATGAACGGAGTGGAGATCGCCTATGGGATGATCTTCTCGAGACTTGTGAGGTGAATGTTGATAGCTTCGCCGGCTCTTCGGCAGTCCCTCGATGTTCTTCTAGATGATGAAGATCTGGAATCATATGTCTTTCGCGAATGCCTTCGCCGAAGCTTCATTTGGCGTCCGGTCCGGGGATCGATGATATGACCTTCGCGAAGGCTTCGTGATGTCTGATGGTCTGAGTCCATATCTAGAGATGAAATCGAAGATGGTGATGATCTCTCCCGCCGAAGGCCTTCGCGAAGGCTGTACATCTAGGTCGCCGCCAAGGTGGTGCGGGACTTCCTTCAGCGAAGGTGACATCGCCTTGGCTGCTACGCTGACGGGGGTGCCTCTGGGTGCTGTTCTACGTTGGAGCCTTCGCCGGCTTCGGACTGCTTATGCGAGTTTGTAGTGGTCCTCCATGATGTTCATAATCTGCCGCATCATGTCTTCTGGGATGATCTGTGGCGAAGTAGCCGGCCTTTTCTGCGATGGGGTTCACATCAATGACGTCTGACGCCGGTGTAGAGGCATCAGGCTGCATGGAGATCTCTGCAGAAGTCACAGTCGCTGACACCGGGTCGCTTCTTCTGCCGTAAGTCGGGATGATTATCGGCTGATCATCGTGGAGAGGCCCAACTCTGCTGCTGGAACGATCTCGGCTGAGAAAGTTCTTGCTGTCTTCGTGATTTCCCTTTGGAAGTCTGGCGCTGCCCTGGTGTCCTCAATCTGCGTTGAGGCGCACGATGAGGCCCTCTTAGACTTAGTCTGCAATGACGGGATGTCTGGGGAGGCCGGTCGCTTTTCTCGAGTAACGGACTGCGCCCCACGTTCCTCTGCCGCAGGGGTCTCTAGCAGAACACCAGACGGAGAGGGTCGATCGCTAGCAGCTGACTGGAAGGAATATCTGGACTCTCTGCCATGTTTTGCCCTTGTTTGCGTGATCTATCTGCAGCACGCCTTAAGACGCAAAGATGATATTTATTAAATGCAGAATGAGATAAATTAATGCAGTAACTGCAAGCGTGAATTAAACGCGACACGGCGTAGAACAACTAGGGCATATTACATGTGGATCGGAGGCAGAAAAACGTAATCTACAAATCGTGCAGATTTTCATGAACGTAAAGTTAGCTGAACAATCACCTAATACACGTGAATAAACAGTAGAAATAATGATAATTAATCAATACAAATAGTAAAGGATACTCAGCTATACCTCTATAGTAACCTATGAGAGGTAAAAACTAAGAGATTATCAAAGGATATGTGTGTAAGGAGACACAAGGCGCTCTCACATCCTGCTCACTGGGCGAAGAAGGAGAGAGTGAAGCACATGGCCAGAGGGTGGCGACACCTTTTCCCGCCAGGGGAGACAAAGGGGAGCAACTCGTGGTGAGTACCAATTAGTGATTTTATTTTGAAGGGAGCTTCAAATAAGGAGATACAAGTGTTCCACTATGTTCGCAAGAAGAAGAAGACAAGCAAAAGAGCATGAGTCAGGATAAGGAAAAATAATGCTATATACTAATATAGCCCTATAACTTTGTAGCTGGGGTATAATATTGCTGACTGCTTCAAAAATAAATCTGCAAATAATAGTATTCTTATTGAAACTGTGAACCAGAAAAACGGTATTAACAGATCTTCATAAACAACATGGGATGAGGTGATTATTTGAATCCATTTGCACTTACTGTTATAACTGTCCTGCATGGTTTGAGCCTGTGTCTTCACATTCTGCATCTGTGTGTAATGGTCAGCCTGGATGTAAGAAATCTGGGTCTTCAAGTCCTCGATCTGCTCACCTAGACCAGAACAGGTATTCTCCACATTGTCCTTTTCTTCATTCAATTCCCTGTGCTTCATCTTCAAATTGTCGTGCTCCCTCTGCAGCTCGGAGAAGCAGTGCCTGACCTTATCCAGTTCAAGTATCACTTTGTTCAGTTCGGACACTTTAGATGCCATTTCTTCCCCCCTTCACATAACACAGCTTCATAGTGCTTCTCCAGCTTGTCCCTTTCCTCCTGAAGGGACTTGGCTCTCACTTCTGTAGAATGACATGTCTCTTTAATCTCTTGGTTTAACTTCTCAATTTCTTTCTTTTGTGACCCATGCTCCTCATCACGTTCAGCCAGGTACTGCTGCTGGAACTCCAGCTGAGATCTCAGTTCTTCCACCTGTGCTCTCAGTGTTGAACACTCATGCTTAGTAGAGGTTAGCTCCTTCTGCAACTGACCCATGTCCTGTTGGGCTTGGTTCACAGAATCTTTTGCATTCTTTATCTCTACATCAAAGTCCTTCTTCCTTTCTGACATTTGTTCATCCATTTCCTTGAGGAGTCCTTCAGTTTGTGAATTTCTTGATCCCTTGATTCCACAATGGAAGCTTTGTTCTGCAGAGCCAGATCCTTTTCATCATTCTGATTCTTCATCTTGTGTAACTCTGCATCTCTCTGACAGAGACTATTTGTCAGGTCCTTCAGTTCATTCTCTTTCTCTGTCAGATCATGAGCAAGCTTGTCAAACCGATCAGCCTGGTGGTCCAGCTGCCCCTTCATGCCATCGTGGAGTCTCTCCATCTCACATTTCTGAGCTGTCATTTTAGCCAGTTCCTTTTCTTTCTCCTCCAGTGCCTGTTCCACACTCTGCTTCTCTGACTTGAGGTCTACAAACTGCTTGTTAAGTTTGAGAACATTCAGCTTGGACATGGAAAGGCCAGCCTCCGCTTCTCCCTTCCCTGCCTCCAACCCCTCGATCTTCTGCTGCATCTGTACAGTCTCTGACTCAAGTCTGGCAGCCAAACGTTCACACTCAGCTGTAGCACTCTCAAGCTCAAGATCCTTGTCCATCATCTTGGCCCGCAGATCATTATTAACCTGGTCTACACGGTCTGTGGTCTCCTTCATCTTCTGTGTCTGCTGCTGAGTGGCCTCCATCTTTCTCTGGGTCTCCTCCATGTCACGGAGAACCTTGTTCTACAACAACAAATCGGTCATATTACATCATGTGGCTTAAAGGAGTCTGTCACCACTCCCCAAACATCATCAATCAAAGAAATTGACTATTTACAATCATGGTGATGAAGTTCAAATATTGAAAAGAAAGACTGACCTTTTCAGCAACTGCATCATCAACAGTCTTCTGCATGGCTGCAAGGGAGGCATCATGTGTCTTGAGGGCGTGGTCGATGGCTGCCAGTTTGTCTGTCAGCTCCTTCTTCTCCCTCTGCAGCTGCTGTTTCTCCTGCTCAAGCTTCTCACATTGAGACTTCAGACGGTTCTGCTCTGTCTCACACTGACACAGACAACACACACCTTCATATTTGTAAACTGTGACTTTAGACAGGGGAATATATTCCACAATGTCCCCCACCCCATGGCAAGGGGGTTATCTAATGGAACGGAAGGGGAGAGGAGACAGAGGGAGAGGACACCAGAAATGGTTACTTAACACCACTTTCTAACTATTTGGAGGATTGAATCCAGGCCTCCAGTTTGATGAGTGAACACTCATATCATAAGACAACCCTCATCCTGTGACATGGCTTTATAGTCGTTCAGTCATGGAAACTGACTGGGTGACATTATCTTCAATATATGACAAATAGATGAGTCTAGTCACTTTGATTACAGCTGTATTCAGTGTTATTACATGCTCAAGAGGACTTTTACCTGTTTGATCTCCTGCTGCATCTTGTTCTTCGTCTCTGCCAGCAGCTTCTAGCCAGCTCGAGCTGTATCCATGTGTTGAGCTATGTCCTTGTTCAACTCCTTCTCTCGCTCCTTTAGTTTCTGCTCCTGAGATATCCGAGCAGAATCAGCGTTGTGGCGTGTCGTCTCTCCCTCCTGCTGCAGTTTCTTGTTCTTTGTTTCAAGATCCAAGATCTTTGCAAAACAGAACCAAATTCATCAATGCATATGTGATCGATATATCAATGTAATAAAGTAAGATCTACATAGAGTATAATGCGTCCAAAACCGATAAAGTGATACGTGAACTGGATAAAGCCAGGCACTGCAGACATACATTAACTGTAAGTCCCTGAAAGTTATGTTTGAGGCTTAGAAAATATTATTAACAACCTTAAAATCTCTTAACTTCCTGAAAAGGGGAGGAGGATGGGATTATATGACTACAATACAGGAAAGGGAGGTTAAAAACCCATAAATCTAAACAGACACAAACAAATAAAACAAGTGTTTGCCACTGATATGGCAATGTCCCCCACCGCTAAAGAATGGAATATCTATATTTACTACTTTTTATTTTTTGGTCACATACAAGATGCCTGAAATGGTGTCTGCATAATCACCCAATGTAGGCTGTCGACATAATTGAAAACATTGGGTGCAATGTTTTATGAGATATCGCATTTAAATAAGTTTGAAAAGTGGTCAAAGTGTCGTGGTGACCTTGAAAATAGGTCAAGGTCACCCAAGTTCACTGGTGTCTGAGTAATCCCCCAATGTTGGCTGTCACCAAATTTGAAGACATTGGATACAACAGTTCATGAGATATCACGTAACGAGTTTGAAATGTGGTCAAAGTGTTGTGGTGTCTGGGTAATCCCCCAATGTAGGCCGTCACCAAATTTGAAGACACTGGATACAACAGTTCATGAGATATCGCGTTAACAAGAATCGGGATGTACGTACATACGAACGCTGCTGAATACATAGTCCCCCATTCCGCGTTGCGGCTGGGGACAACAACAGACACAACAGACATGAATAGTTTATGTCCTTCAAGCCAACAGCTAGCCTTTCATCTGTCACTCAGCAAAATGTCACAACTACCTTGTTGTTTGTCTGCTCAATCTGAACTTTCAGTTTTCCAATTTCATCGCGATGCTGGTTGACCTGCTTCTCCTTGTCCCCGACCATGGCCTCGGCTTTGTTCAACTCCACTTGCATCTTCTGTAGGCCGCCATTGTTTTCATGCAGCTCCTTTGTCTTTGCCTGGATCTGTAGTTCCAGGTTAGCACTGCCGTTCTTGATTGCTGGTTGAGTGTGAAAACAGCATATCAGAGGCATCCCAAGTTAAACACATACTGACTGCTAACTACCTCTTATTAGTGGATCAACATTGAGAATTTTATGCAAAAAATCGCTTACTAAAACAATGTGAAACATATCACACTGTGACTAAAGTATTAGGAAATGAATATGATTTGAGAGCATGTCTTGAAGACCCAATTTTACACCCAATATGTATCATTATGTCATGTATGTTAATCATCAGTCCTTGCAAATCATAAAAAGTATAACAATATCACTATGTAGGCTTATCATTAGGGGTGTCGCGATACGCGAATGTATCGATGCATCTCCTTCAAAGTCTTGATAGTAAAATTATACGAGACCGCTCCGATAAATAGATGTAGCTAGCTTTACTTAAAAAATAGGTTGGAAACTAACAGCTTTTGTGATTGGCTAGACTATTTTGATGGACCAATCAGCGAGCGCGTACATTGCCGGTAAGGTAATGCTATGAAAAGGTGCGAAAATTATGTATCTGGATACGTATCGTATAGTGACCTTAAAATCGTGATACGTATCGTATCGTGAGATTGGTGTATCGTGACACCCCTACTTATCATACAGTGCCACACCCATGCTAGAGCTGTTTGGCATGATGCTGACCTTCATTCTCTTTCTTCAGTTTGCCTAGGACCTGCTCCATCTTGTCCAGCTGCATGCCGGTCATCCCCTTGTTGTCCTGGAGACTCTGCCCTATCTGCTGCATGCGGTTGTTGGTGGCAGCACTCTGGTTCTCCAGCTTCAGTGTCAGGTCCTGCTTCTCTCGCCGCAGGGTCTCCAACTCAGAGATAGTCTTGCTCATGTCAGCACCAGCCTTGCCACAAACACATCAAGACTGTCAGCGAAACATTCACATTCCCTTCATGCACATAAGTGTGTAAACACAGGGTTGCAAAATTGCCAGAATTTGCCAACTTGTGGTTTTGGATGACAAATATGTGTTGTTACTTTGGCTCTATTCACTTGTCACAAATGTAAACACCATCACCCCAATTGCTGTATATGGTATTGGTGAGTGAAGGCCAGGGCTATTATTGAACAAGATATTCATTCATTCTATGGTGCCAATGACAGAACCAGACCCATGAAGATCCGGGTTAGAATTGGTCTTCAGTACTGACTGACTGAGTTTGGTTTTACGCCGCTTTTAGCAATATTCCAGCAATATCACTGCGGGGTACACCAGAAATGGGCTTCACTCATTGTACCCATGTGGGGATTCGAACCTAGTCGAGGTCACATGACTAGTAGCATGATCTTGTAAGGTGGGAGGTCAACTAAGCAGACGAAACATTAATGGCATCTTTGGAGTAAAGATTTAGGACTTTTGTGCATTTGATTATGAAGTAGATATTGCATTAAGGATCTCTGAGATAAAATTAATGTCTTGTGGGTTTTTTATACTGTTGCCTACACATGGAAATTGATTCGTATAATATCGATGTCAGAACGAAAGCGGGGATCGCCTTGTTATCATTCAGGATGCTTCTCATGGATTTTCTCGCATTTTCACGCAATAAACGGGAATTGTAATGGGCAATCAAAAACATATAACGATCGGAAACGTAAGACGATAGGATACTTGATGATCCAAAGACGTTGCAAATGTAACTTGCTAGCGTTAACAATTGACACGTGCTGACAACATCACGGATGTTAGTTCGCTAACGTAGGTATTTGACTATGAAATGACCGTCCAAACGATTATAATCGATCGATTATTGATCTGACACTAGCGATTATCAATCTGACAAAATGTAACAATAACCAGCTCTACCTGTGACTGCAAAGCCTTGAGTTCATCCTGCAGCTTTTTCTGATCATCTTGATCCTTCTCTCTCAGTGCTGTCAGTTCTGCTATTTGATTCTTCAGTGCACTTACTTCAGCTGTAAGTACAGACAGGAGAAGTGTTCAAACCATGACAAGACCTTCACGCAATAATCTAGTAATATTTGGACAAAAAGCAAAGTGGGAAATAACCCATAATGTAAACACACCATTTGACACAATGGGTTGTACGGCGGTAGGCGAGGGAACTTGTTTCCCACCCCCTCCACCTCCTATTCTTTGCCCATCCTGTCGTGCATCAGCATCCAGTGAACGGATACGGTCCTCCAGTTGTTTCTTCTGATGGCTGCTGAATTCCTGCAGACGACTGTGGTCTGATGTTAGTTTCTCAAACTTCTTCACAGCTTCAAGATGTTCATGTTGGGCGTGGTCCAGCTCTGTCTTCAGCTGAGACACCTGAAAGAAACAGCAGGAACAGTCTTAACCTTAGGAGGGATTAAATAGGTTTTAAATGTGAGTGTGTCAGTGTCTACCTGTTTCTGTCTGATTGCATACATAGTGCACTGACATACCATCACGTAATTTAATATGGATGCCTCAACTCAAACTAAACTAAGACTGTTTTATCCCTTTAATGCTGATTGCCAGGCAGACAAACACGTAAAATCATTGAAAGTCTTATGGTATGACATGGCCAGGGATCGAACCTCAGACCTGCCACTCTCTTGGTGGGGGCTCTTTCCAACTACACCATCAATACAGCAGCAGTAGTAATAATAATAATAATATGGAATCTTATATCGTGCTAAACTCCACACCAAAGTGTGCACAAAGCGCTAACAGAGTCAGGAGTCATGCACGATACATGCTCCACAGAAACTGATGAACCATTAAAATTGCTCCAGCCTCATAAGATAAAAAAAATGAAAGGGAAAGGGAAATTGATTTACAGCTCTTACAGTCGAGAAAAGGTATTGTCACAGGGGTGGAAATAACTTTAAAATTGCTAGTGTACTCCGGAACAGTAGCACATGTAAAATCACTTGCCCTTATAATTTTTCCACTATACCGGCCGTTTTCTTGTTGATTTTTTACAATAAACAACATAGTTAACATTGGAAAGTCAACTGGACACCGGTACAGTGTGATATACAAATTTGCTTGCCTGACAGAAAAAAAAACACTGGACTCGGACGTCGGGCAATGGGTTATTTCCACCCCTGTGTCACTTAAAACTTATTTTCCATTGAGATTGACATAACAGGTTTAGTTACCTCAAAGCTATATTGTGCATTCCTACTATATGTTGTTGCCAATGTAAGAATCAGTTATCTATATCCATAACAATCTTTTACTCATTTCATTTTTACCTTGTTAGTCTCTGCATCCAGTGACTGTTTAGCATGTGACAATTGGCCTTCAAGACATGACACATGGTTGGTCTTTGTCTGAATATCCTGGGCAAGTTTCTGCCTCTTCTTCTCTAAATCCTCACATGTCTCAGACAAAGACTGTGCTTCACGTTTAAGCACACCTTGTTGGTTCTTTTCCTCCTCAGTTTTCCGCTTCTGAGCTTGTAATGCCTGTTCATTACAAAACAACACATAAATCTTTTTTCAACAGTGACAATGACAATTGCTGACATTCAAAATATATTTGAAAATGTAGTTTGTAACAGTCCTTGAAACACATTATTTTCGCTTCTGACAAAGCCTGTGCTATGCTCCCTCCCAATGATTGTTCTCAGGTGGAATGCCAACTCACTTGGGCTGCTATCAAGTCTTATTGAGAAATTGGTGTCATCAAAATCATAAACATTAAAAGATGCCACAAACAAACAAACACAAAACAATTCAAAGCACAAATACTGAAGCAAATTTGTTTTAAACAATCTCAAGCTTCAAATAGGATGCATATGAAACTGTGAAGATGCCACTAAATTATACACTTGTAGTGAGTGAGTTGGGTTTTACGTTGTTAGCAATATTCCAGCAATATCCCAGCGGGGAACAATTGAAATGGGCTTCACACATTGCATCCATGTGGGGAATCGAACCCAGGCCTTCGGCGTGATGAGCGAAGGCTTTAACCACTAGGCTACCCCACTGCCCCTAAACACTTGTGACTTATGAGGACAAAGAAAATGTTTCATTGTAACAGGTTACTAGCTTGGCTATTGTAAAACAAGGCAGCTACCACGGCCATTGCACAATTTGAAAATCATTGGAATTTTCTGGAAGTCAGCAATAAGAAACAGATACAGAGTTACCATATACCTTATGATCAGGATGTCACTGTCAGGGCATAAGTAAATACCTAATCCTGTCTCAGTTTGATGAGTCTCCTACTCTCACCGTGTTAATTTTGAATCGGCATGATGGAACAACAAACTTACTAGTTTCATAGAAGATGGGACATAAAACACACCTGTTCCAAACTCTCTAACTGAAACTGCTTCTGTTCTCTTTCTTTTTTAATGCGTTCAAACTGTTTTTCTAGCTGTTCGATCTTCTGTAGAGCCCTTGGGGGTAGCCCGTCCTTCCATTCATCTGCTACCCAACTCATCCTGGCTTACCTGCAGAAAGGGAAACAAAAAGCCAAACTCTATTTATTATGTCTTTAACTTAAGTTATCTAGAAAGTAATTACATACAAATAACAGTCTTCAGAAATATGTAGTCAGAAAGAGTTCCTTCCGTTCCCCTACGTCTTTCTTCTGCAGATTAACAGAGGTAACGCAACATGGTTCGACCATATACATTGTAATTAATTTTTGAGCTTTTAGTTACTTTGGTGAGTTCTCTAGTAATTGTAGTGTTCGGTTTTGTTAATAATTTTAGCATATATTAATTTATAAATATTATTTAGGATGGGGGGGACGGGAGGAACTCTTACCATTACCAGCATCTACACCAAAATGTCACAAATCCATTTAAATAAGTTGTCTATCCATAAAAATCGTACCTGTTGAAGTATAATATGTGACTGACTAAGGTTTCACATTATTTTGCGACTCGCGGCGCGCATGCGCAGAGCGTGTAAATAATCCTCCGGTCATTTCCGTTTTGGTGGTGAGTTTACGGATAGTGCAAACACACTCCGAAGAAAAGCTGTTATGAAGATTATTTACGTGTGACAACAGTTCATAGGTAAGTACACACTTCCAATTGCGTTTGGTTTTCAATAATTGATGTCTGTTTTTGTTGCAAATGCTTTGGAGATGTAGTATTAGTTGTGAGAAGGGGATGTGCAGGAAGGACGGTGGACGTGTATACACAAGAGCTTGTTAAGGTACTTATTTAGCTAATCCCGGCCTTTGTTTCAAAATGACTTGAGATCAATTGTATTCGACATAAAACTGTATGTTTGAATTGATTTTTGTTTTAACAATATGAAATTAAAGTAAAATGCAATTGTAAACTTCATTAATATCATCAACTCCACGTCCTCTACAGTTTAACTGAGATGGAGATATTCAGAATGGGGTCTATATATTTACATGCATTGATTTCAGTCAGTCCCCACATATTCACTATTGCTTTTGCATTTTGTAATATGGCTAGTAACAAGTTGAAACCAGTGTTAAAGTACAAGAGTTTTACAGAAGTAAATCAGCTAAGTGCAAACGAACTTAAAGCTGTGTGTGTAAGAAATCACATCTCGAACACTTTGCCAAGGACAGCCCGTGTCATTTTCTTGTGTCACATTTTAGGTCTTAGTACCACTGGATGTGCTTCACCTGACCGTGGATTTTTGAGCATAGGAGAGGAGCGACTTACTGCAGAACAGATATTGACACTTTGCAAGCTTACCCCATTGAACCTTCTCCGCCTCAAGTCATGGTCTCGTGACATTTCATCGCTCCCTGACATCGACGAGACTGTGGTGAAGAAATACCTCCTGGGATGTAACATTTTAGAGAAGAGTCAACTCAAGACGTACAAACTTTCTCGTGCATATCAGTTGAAGGACAATATTCACTCAGTTCTTGTGACACAACATCCTGAATATTCAGATTTCTATTGCATCCAGGCAAGGTGCAATCCCTCGCAAAGCACACAGGCAGAGGATGTTAAAGTACTTCACCTGGTGCTCGACATCGTGACTGGAGACCCCTGTTCAGCATATTGCACTTGTACTGTTGGGTAAGTACCTATGAAGTTCATGTTATTTATTTTTCATTAACCTGAGATTATGTAAGAAATAAAGTCCTGGTCGTCATTGCCCATTAAGATCAAGTATGAACCATTGTCATGGTAAATGAGCCGTAACATTCACAATTAAGTGTGATGTTCACAAAATGAGATCACATTGGTTGTAAATATATCAATCAACCTCTACTCCAGTGTTGTTACTTTTTCAACCTCACATTGGTACATCATATTGTACATGCTTAAGTATTAGCACTGTAAATATAAGGAATAAAAAATTGTAATATCAGATTTGCTTTCTTTCTTTGTATGACAGTACTTAACATGATATGTTTGTTATCTTCTTGGCAAGTGTAAAAGGGAAACTCACATCCAGATATCAAGCTTACAGTGTCTGTGTAACAATATATATGAAATTAAAACAATTTCTCTAAGATTGTCTAATTTGTTCTCCAGATTCACCCAGGCTTGTGGCCACATCGGAGCTGTGCTGTGCCTCTTGGCGAAGTGGCAGGCGCATGGAGTCCAGACTGCCCCTGGTGAAGCTGCCTGTACGGACAAGCTCTGTCCATGGATTGACCCGAAACGTCAGTATTAATTTGGTCACCTGTCACTGTTTGAAATTTATGAAATGTTGAAATGAAAATGCTTGTAAAAAGTATCTTAAGCAGTATCATTTCCTCTTGTTATAGGGTTATAAAGATTTTAAAGTTGTGGATGATGTATTGCTGGATGGGCTTGTTCATTATTTATTAGACAATGGCCACCTTCAGATTGTATTCTGTTAAATAGTAAAAGATTGTCTTCTCTTTAATTTCTCTATGGTTAATAATAACATGATCATATTATGTGTCAAAATAGCATTTACATGTATGCTATTGAGAAGTGTGCTGTCCCTCCATCAATAACAAAAGATTAACACAAATTCAATGCGCCAATTTTAATATGAGTGTATGGTAATTAGTAATTGTTTACAAATGTTTAAGTTTATTTCATTATATTACAGCTGCAACCGTGAAACCCAAGCGATTCCAGGACATAGGTAACCAGGATCTGACGAACAAGAGGAGGAGAACTTCAGATGATTATGGGTCCATTGTTACTAATGGATTCAAGCCTCTCACCGCTGAGCAAGCTCGTGACTTCAGAGAAGCCCTGATCAAGGCAACCAGTCATCTTGGATGGGTCTGCCCCTGGGCGGTCGCCCTTGACCCATCCAGGTTTCCCGGCTTAGTCCAACCTGGTTCTGCTTTATCAAGCCTGCCTCCAACTGCCAGCCTTCTTTCTCCGGACCTCGCCTACTCTTTTGAAGTCACCGTCATCAGCCAACCTCTGCCTATCGCCTTCCTACCTCACAAGACTTTCACAGATGCAACACATCCCTCTTTCCTGTCAGAAGTTGATGCCTTCATTTCATCATTTCCCTATTCTACATCTGATCTGCAGCTCATCCCCTTGCTCACTCTCGGACAAAGCAACAACCTGGAGTGGTTCCGGCAGAAGTATGGCAGTTTGACCTCCAGTAACTTTGGCCGGATCGTCCGCTTCATGATGACACGAAGAGCTGATCCAGATGTCCTTGTCCGGGATGTCATGGGCTACAGACTTGGTGCCAACCCCCCATCAGCGCTCCACCTCAGCACCCAGCTTAAAGTATGGAATACGCTATGAGTCGGTGGCCCGGAACGCCTATGTGTCTCGCCGGAAGTTACAACACAGGTCTCTGGAGGTGAAGGAGACAGGACTTCATGTACACCCGGACTACCCCCACCTCCGAGCCAGCCCTGATGGTATTGTGTCCTGCGGATGCCACACAACAACCATCCTGGAGATCAAGTGTCCATTTTCATCCAGAGACATCAGTGTCAGGGAAGCAGTACGGACCAAGAAGCTAACCTACCTGGAGCTGCTTCCCCGACTTTTCTCTGAGGTTGAAGCAGGACACTGATTACTACCATCAGGTGCAGGGTGCCATGGCTGTGGTGGGGGTCAACAAGTGTGACTTTGTTGTGTACACAAAGAAATCAATGGAAATCTTCAGCGTGCAGTTTGACCCTATACGTTGGGAGAGAACCCTCAAGGATCTCAACACATTCTTCGAGGTATATGTTGTCCCTGAAATTATGACTGCTCGAATTAAGGAAGTTTTGAACCCACCCAAGACCACCTGTGTCATCTGCCATAAAGTGCTGCCTGAGTCAGATGACATCGCCGTGGACAACAGCAATGCTGCTGTGGCATGTGACTGTTCCTGTGCTTGTGCCACAGCAGACAGCTGGTACTGCTGGCCCTGTGTTGGCTACACAGCTGCCATGGCTGCTGCTGCAGCTGATTGGTTCTGTGGTAGCTGCAGGAACTCTTGCGCATAGTGTAAAGTGCTGTGAAGTAATGTCACTGCTCAATTCCATGATAAATTTCAGAAATCCTTGGGGCGGTGGGGTAGCCTAATGGTTAAAGCGTTGGCTCGTCACGCCGAAGACCCGGGTTCGAATCCCCACATGGGCACAATGTGTGAAGCCCATTTCTGGTGCCCCCCCTCCATGATGTTGCTGGAATATTGCTAAAAGCGGCGTAAAACCAAACTCAGTCAGTCAGTCAGTCAGAAATCTTTAGCAGAGTGTGAGTAGTATATATGCCACTGAGTGGTTACTGATATTAATAGTCTTTATTTATTTTACCAACCTTTTATATTATGTGAAGTGCGACATTTCTTACCATGCACATAGCTTTACGCTGTTTAGCGCATGTTTGTATGTGAATATTCATCAAATTTAATATGTATACTTAATTCAAGGGTGTTATACAAAAAACACAAAATTCTGATTAATCAAAAATATTTGCATTCGATATCCATTTTTAATCCTTCTTTCGATCAACGGAACACAACTACATACAATCCTCTTTGACAAAAAAAAAGGAACAAGAAAAGTTTCATAAAAATCAGATTTATTAATATCATAATACTTGACAATCAATGTGCCTGTATATATATTTAGAAATGAAACATCATGATGTAACATTATATATTTGGGATCATGCTTTCTTTCTAAATGACATTCTGTAATCATAACATCATATTGCTTGTACATTAATCAATATGTATGAACCATTGTCATGGTAAATGAGCCATAACATTCAAAATGTGATGTTCACAAAATGAGATCACATTGGTTGTAAATATATCAATCAACCTCTACTCCAGTGTTGTTACTTGTTCTCCCTTCTTTGCCATTACATTGACAAAACACAAGCATACAATATTAGAATACATTCTTAATTGTTTAAAATAGGTCTTTGAAAATTAACAAGGTATGAACAAACTCTAAATGTTTGTTCAATCATATCCTTTTGGTCCATTCGGATGGAGTTCTCAAGAATGTGGAAAGTTTTAATGCGTTGGATGACACGTTCGATGTGTATACGTGCACGGCTGATTTGCGCTGAGCGCTAAGCTTCAGTAGCAGAGAACTGAGGCCTGTCTCTGCCTTTGAAATGTGGCATTATCATCTTAACACCGAGTGAGCGGAGTTCTTCAGTCACAAGGAAACCGCGGTCGGCCATGATGCTGGAACCTGGAGCTAGGTTGGACATGAGCTTCTCACTGTTGAGTGTTATGTGTTTGTCTGTAGCTCTTCCTCCCCACGCTGCTGACACAAAATTCACAGCTTGATGTGGGCCCATTCCAACCAGAAATTTCACAGTGTCATGGTGTTTGTAGTTGGAAAATGTTTCTTTTCGTGCCTGAAGGTCCATAGAGCGCTGCGAGAAGAGTTCTGTGCAGTCAAGCGTTATCGTCACTTCTGGAAATGGGTCCATACATGGCATCGTCTGCACATGACTGAGATCAACTGCGACCATCTCAAAATAGGCAGTCAGCTCGTTGTTCATGAAGTTGATCCAAGTTGTGAAGATTCTTGACAAAGTAGATACACTTACTCCAGTTCTCAAATGCATGTCTCTTAACTCCATACCTCGCTTAAGTCGCACGAGCACAAGAAATAGTTCCTCTTGGAAGTGTGCGTTCCTTTCCAGGCTTCTTAATGGAACGACGTGTGTTGTTACATGACTGTTGATGTCTCCAGTAGTTAAGCCTCCCGTCACATCTTCTATGCAGAAACATAGCCAGTACTTCAAAAATATTGTAGTTTGGTAGATTGGTCATGTAGTGGAAATTCACATCATTGTCCTTATAGCTGGATAGACAGAGTCTCGTCTTCTTCAGGTTTTCATTTTCCCATTCAAGATGCTGAAGCCGAAGTTTCAATTTCTCCATCTCCTCGTTGCAGGGAGTCTCATTTATATACGGATAGACGTAGTCATGGTCCATCCGAGATGGTATGACTTGATGCTCTGCTTCAGAAGCAGGTGTAGAGTCTTCAGAAGCAGGTTCAGAGTCTTCAGGTGTAGAGTCTTCAGAAGCAGGTGTAGAGTATTCAGGAGCAGGTGTAGATTCTTCAGAAGCAGGTGTAGAGTCTTCAGAAGCAGGTGTAGAGTATTCAGGAGCAGGTGTAGTCTCTTCTTGCTCTGAGACAGGAGAAGATAGCTTGTCATCAGTGGCTGTGCTGGTTGGGGAAAGAAGTAGGGTGTCAGAGCTGGGAGATAAAGCAGAACTATCAGGGAAGATCTTGCGGCAGACACGCTTTGCTGGAGGTGACTTAGCTTTGGATGAATTCAGGGTTGTTCGTCGCTTGATCGGTTTCTGACGAGAAGGGAAGATAGTTGGGATGTAGCCTGGTTTCTTTGGATCGTCAGATTTCTTGCCTGTAGAGAAAATGAACTGTTTGAGAGGCATTCTAGAAGTTGGTAGTGACAGAAATGACGAGTCTTTAAGGATATTGTGTAATAAAGAAGATAAATATCCATAAAGACTCGTTATTTCTGCAGAGCAAGTAATAATGTATTACCAAATCCATGAAACGATAATCAAATGAAAAATAACAATTGCCTAAACAAATTTCCATATCAAGACGACTGGAAATATTTCCTGTTTAAAATCATAGATATGACGTCAGAACAGTACTTTACAGTAATGGCGTACAGACTTAGGTTTATTTAAATAAGTAACTACTTCCTGTGAATATCACCACTTCGTATATACCCAATGTACAACAATTGCGCACATTGATGCTCATGCTGTTGATCACTGGATCCAGACTCAGTTATTTACAGACCGCCACCATAGAGCTTGAATACTGCTGAGTGTGGCGTAAAACAAAACTCTCTTCTTACTCACCCAATGCATACAGTTTTACCTCAAATTTTATATAACCTGATTTTCAGCTGCATGTCGTTTCAGTTACTAGGCATACGATAACCAACTCCTTACATGAAAGTATTTGCTATGTAAACATAGTTCTGATACAGTGTACAAGTGGACATTTTACCAATTGCTATTCCTGAGTTTTACTTCCATGTTGTGTTTTACATTTATTCTGTTTTGTATCCGGCTATTGACATTTAATCAGTAATTGACAGGAAACTAAACCTTTTTGTGAGAATAAATGAGTAGTAAGTTGTTGAAAAAGCAAATTAAGCAATATCATTCAAATATCAAAATAAAACAATTTTTTAACATTGTTATTCAACTTATTACATCATCAAATAAATGCTTAGCTAATTAACTTACCTTGTCCAATTAACAAGTGTCATTTGAGCATCTGTGGTCAAAGTCTGATGACATGTGGTCATAAAGTTGGCAGGTCAGGTGTTTAGTATGTCTGATGATGCAATCTAGTTGATTGCCAATGGTCGTGATGGCAATGACCATAAATTACTGACAATGTCCAATTCATGTTACCACTGGTTATGTAACAGTCATTGATTGTGAGTTTTAAAGATGGACGGTTATATGTCATTCATTATTTTGAATTCACATGAACTAAAACACATGTAACAGCCTCCCCAAATACCGAAACTCTATGGTAATAAAAAGTATTGTCACTTCCAAATACTTATTCCTCTCTGAGCTTCTAAAAACACTTATGTCAGCAACAAATAACAAAATGTGAGACAGGTTTACCCGAAGCCTGTCAATTTTGGTTTCAGGCTACACTTGGTGACTTATGGAAACAGGTGTTTCACTACCACTGTAATATCTAATTTAATCTACTATAATAACCTTAATAATTAGCACTCCAATCTTGCAGATATTATCCATTTTTTTTGTCTTTTTACTGGTAAAATCTTGAAATATTTTTTTATGTACTGGTAAAAGTGATTGGTTAGTTCTAAGAGGTGTGTAGCTTTAACCTTAAGTATAGATTTACTGAATTTTCTACAGACCAGTCAAAACACTGGGAAGTCGACTGTAAGTGCTTTTTTTATTATATAACTAATGACACAGTAGCTAACATCGCAGGTAAACTATGAAATATTAGTATTTATCTGACAAGATGATAGTGTTTTGTTGTTTTTGAAAAGTTGAATTCAAACAGGGTAGTAATTTAGGATTGTGACGTGGTCTTGGTTACAAAATAGTTTAGTATCAAACACAACAGGGAAATGATATTTCGGCGATATTTCTATCAGCGCATGTTATACCACTGACATTAACAGGTAATACTTATTTTCATAAATACATACCTCCCTCGAAATGAATGGAACAAATTCTGCTGGAGGAATTTGGAAACCAAGCATCTCTTCTGATGTGATCAAGCCAGAGTTTCGTCCGCTTCACGTCATGTATCGGAATTCTGTGATAAGTCAACTTGACACCTGCAAGTTTATCTTTCTGCGTGAAGTTTGTACACCCAGGCACGCAACAAAAACTTCCTAGTCGTTTGAAATTTCCTAAGAGCCGAGGAGAACGTTGTTGATCTGTCAAACTCATGATAAGGAGCGATCGACTGACGACTGACAGCCAAAACGGAAATGACCGGAGGATTATTTACACGCTCTGCGCATGCGCGCCGCGAGTCGCAAAATAATGTGAAACCGACGAATGGGACTTCAATTCAAAGTAGATCGATGTTATACTTGATCTCAAGAACTTCAGGACCAGAAAGAGATTATTCATGTCACTGGGGCTTGTCATATCATTCCAGTCTAGCTTTTATCAAATTTACATGATGCGACACTTGTTAAATATCTGAAATGCCTAACCCATTTATGTCACTGTCAAACATGTAATCTATATTCTTTACAACATATCACATATAATTTAATACATTTAGTTTCCTGTCGACACTTTTGAATCAGTTGGTGGTCAAACGTAAACTACACGTTTATACTGATAAAGGTGGTGGTGTACAGTGCAAGGAAGCCATGGTGCATTGTCAATTATGTTTTATTTAATTGTAAAATTTGGCCTCTATTCTGAGCTTTCAATACAGCTCGATATAAATGATTAGAGTAGTGTTTTTTCTCGTGGTAAAAGAGCAATGCTACATCCATTGAAAGAGGCCATATATGGGTATATTGTCTCACTACATGTGACCACGCTATTGGGTAGGAAAAGAAATAAAAATATAATATAAGAATATTGATTTAAAATATATGCGAAAGTGTCACTGTTCTGAATGTTATTTGGATTTTGAGACGTTAAGGTCAAAAAGAAGGAGATATAAGATAGTTGGTATAATATACGAAAGTGTTTTCTTTTCTTGTTATTATTTTTATATGACACAATGATGTTTTTTAACATCCACAAAGGTAAAACTGTAGGCAAAATGATTTGCTTGGGGCAAAATACACCCTTCGTCAGATCTTTGGGGCAAAATACACCCTTCATCAAAACATTTCTTTATATATTAGAAAACACTTTTGTGGATTATAACATTTCACTGAAACAATGTAAGGCAACGTATAATGTTAGTTGTTTCTTGCTGCAGTTTTGAAAATCCGGTATTGTAAATGTTACAAATTGAAACTTATTCAAAAGTAGAAAATGAATCAAGCCACCTTATTCTAAAAGTGGAGTAAAACAATTTTACCTTTCACACCAAAAATCGAACAAAATGCAATCAGGTTGCTGACGATCTATTTGACACTATAATTAAAAATCCTACCACCAAAACCTGGTCGAAACTGTTACAGATGGAATTTAATTAACATCTACATTTAGCGTTATGTATATTGCGTTGTACAGTACATATCAGTTATTTACAAAACAATTCAAAATGATACTGGGTGCTGGAGTAACCCGGTGGTTCGCCATGGAGAAGACTGGGTTCTGTTCCCACATGGGTACAATGTGTGTAGGTCATTTCTGTTGATTCCCGCCGTGATTTGGTGGCGTAAATTCAGAATCACTTGTTCAGTCTAAATGACACACATATTTGGTATTCTCTGCATGACCTGACCCCCGCCACGAATGGGAGCGGGTTACAACGGTATCGTTCGTCCTTCTGTTCCTTCCCCCTCTTTTGTCAAGTCGAACACCGACATAATAACACACACACGCACGCACATATGCACACATAATATGTCAGTGGTTATCGAAATGTAAGAAATAGGTGTTGAGGGTCTTGTTCACTTGTTTACATAATTCAATGTTTTTGCAGAATTAAGGAAAATACTATCACAAGCATTTTTTAATTGTATGACCATTTTGGCATGACCCTCAAAGAAATCTAGTACCATACTTAGAGCTGTAACAGCAAAATTACTGAGTCTCAAGCAATGACTTTGATATCACAACACTCCTTGAATTCATTAATTCTCTGCGACGTATTTTGGTGACAATCCCGTGATTAGTCACCAATAAGAGGACTGCAATTTATACAACAAAACTTCAGCGACGTAAGTGATTTAAAAAGAAAGCAAAGAAATTTTCGAATGCCACTGTTGATCAGTCACTACTCTATAAAATATTTGCGAAAGATTCGCAAAGTCATTTTACGCCCAGGAGAGATCCTCCTGCGACGCGCACCTGTTCCGTAGATAGAAATAGTTGTGAGGGAAATGTGATGTCAAACCACTTTTCTGACTTGGGTTGACAACAAAACATGGACATACAGTCCTCGTTATGAGACATCACGGTTTGTGATGACACATGCAGCAACAACGATGCGGGCGGTCTTCCCCACGTATTTAGATCATCGTGGGAAGATAGAAAAACCGCTTGCTCCTCTGTTTGGAAATACACAATTGTAAAAATAACACCACCAAAATCATTTGTCAGCAGAGGTTTCGCTTGAAGTGGAGTACATCGGTGACAGTGTTAAAAAGGATTAGCGGTGTACACTTGCCCCCGGAACCACGCGTAATGTTTTATCTTAAAGTTAGTAATGTCTCATTACAGTCATGTCTCTTTACACCTCTATATTTCATGTGTTTACTTAACATATATATATAATTTTATTAACAAGTAGAGTCTATCTATTTCCATGTAACTTAATCAATAAGTAATGTTATTCAGAAACTAATTTGTATAAGTTATATATTAAATATATTTATTATTATTTATACATATTTAAGTTACTTTAAATGGATGTCAGCTTTTTTTATCTTTACGTTGTCAATTTGTGATGTATGTGCCATAATGTTATCATTTGTTTACAGTATACCATATGATTTAGGTCAGAGCTGAAGTGACTGCTCTCACACTCAGCGCCACACCCTGATTTAATATCTTTAGACAAAATACCCAACAATATTTCCATTTATTTCAGAACAACTTTTTATGAAGAATTGTGACATTTTGGATTTATAAAATGCCATTCAAGTGGAGACCGAAACGGACTCGTCGTTATGACATATCATCGAAGAATTCATTCATAGTTGGTGTGTACCTGTTGGATAGTTCATTCTTGAATGTACCCTGTCATCTGATAGTACAGGCCAGGAGTGCCTGGACAGCATTGCACAGAGAATTGACCTTGTGGATGTGAGTTAATATTCATCATTACTATTGTAGCCTAAGCATTTACAAACTTTCAAGCTATTACTTGGCAGTTTCATTCATTTATGTTTGAATGAATTTCCTAAACCCATCTTTGTTTTGTCTCAGTTTTTTGACGGCAGACCTATTATTCTAGATGCTGTGACTTATTCAATAATTTAAATTGTTGAAAACATTTAAGTATGTGTTTGCCCACAAAAGTTCTATTAAGTCTTTGTTTTGTCTCAGTTTTTGATGACAGACCTATTATTCTAGATGCTGTGACTTATTCAGTAATTTAAATTGTTCGAAACATTAAAGTATGTGTTTGTCCCCAAAAGTTCTATAAACAAGATATATCATATCCAAGGCTATTTCATCATTCAGAGTTAAGTGTAAGTTAGCACTGAGGCGAAATTCTGGTAAACAATTTTTTTACTACATGTATTTGACTGAAATGTTTGCTGTGTGCAACTTGGAAAAATACGACAGTGATAGGAATGTGAGTCATACTGAACCCGGGGCCTTGTGAAGATCTGGGTTGGAATTGGTCTTCAGCAACCCATGGTTGTTCTCGGATTCGACTAATGAGATTGGGTTGTCAGAATCTCTGATTTTGTTGATGAATGTCATCATTTCCTAATTCTGTAGATCAGCGCTATAATCAAGCCAACCGCTGGATTGTTTGTACGAGAATTGATTACTTGCAGTCGGCTATCATATATCTATATGTCTGGAATATTGAAACAGATATATTGAACTGGGGGATGTTAGATGTACACAAATAGAAATATGCAGTTATCAAATATAAATAGAGAAGGGTAAGGTAAAGCATTATGCTAAACCTATTCAGTGTTTTGATGTATCAGAATAAATGTTTGCTATGAACTTCGAAAGGAGCTTATGTGGGTGGAAGTGTCACAGTGACCTATGTGGTAAGAGAAGAAAGGCCATGCCTTAGGCACATTGTGACAGGTATAATGCTACTTCAGCCTTTGTTTCCAGATTGTGATGTATGTACATGTGGATTAACAGTGTTATGTGTGTATGTTATCATGTCACATGGAGGTATACATGCCCACTGCTGCACATGTCTCATTGTAGGATAGGACAGAGCAACATGACAGTATTACTATACTGAGTGTCATTGCTGAAGGATCTGGCTGGTTGTTTAACACTGCACTCAGCAATATTCCAGCTATATGTTTATATGGTGACGGTCTGCAAATAAGCGAGTCTAGACAGTCAATCCAGTGATCAACATCATGAGCATCAGATACGATGACATGTGTCAACCAAGTCAGCCTAACCACCCGATCTTGTTAGACGCCTCTTACAACAAGCATGGGTTGCTGAAGACCAGTTCTAACCTGTATCTTCATGGGTGTGCAGATAAGAGATGAAAAGTATTAAAATAATGTTTTCAACTTCCAAGAGAGCAGCTCTGTGGCATCTGGAGTAAACCATGTTATGTCCACATTGCCTTTAAGTGTCATGCATTACCCATACATGGGTGAAACCAATGGTTGTGTTCAGGGAGTGTGTTTTGCATAGCTTTCTTTATCACTGTCTGGGCGGTAGGGTAGCCTGGTAGTAAAAGTGTTGGCTTGTCACGCGAACACCGGGTTTGATTCTCCACATAGGAAAATGTGTGAACCCTATTTCTGGTGTCGTGAGTTATTACTGGAATATTGCTAAAAGTGGTGTACAACCATACTCACTCACTCTATCACTTTCCATCTTACACTTTTCATTGGTTTTAATAGTCATCTATTTCCAGTTTCATAGAGCTGCGTCTGATTGTGTGACAGGCATAAACAACATGTTCTTCAGCTGGTACTGACATTGTCAATATATACAGACATATTGACACATGTTGGCTTATGTTCATTAGAGACACCTTCCGTACCTAGGTGTCCCATCAGTGGCGAAGCTGAATCTATGTTAACCATGGTATAGTCCAATTCTCTTTGTGACATAAAAGCACAGTGACTGATAATCAGTGCCTACAGTGTTGCAATGTAATAGTTTCCTTCCTATCTGTGTGTAGTGGTTACGCCATGTGGAGTTGAGCCAGGTCTGAGACAGTAGCCACTGTTATCGCGCCATGACCAGGGTTGATTGTTGGTCTTTATCTCTGTTGGAAGGCTTCATCGGCTTCTACAGCATCACACCAGATGCATGATGATAAACAGATTTATTTATAGGTCATGTTGATTAACTTGTAGTCAGATAGAGTGATAATTGCAAAACCCCTCTCACTTATACATTAAATAGAATGGTTTGGGAAGCTGCTTATTTCTGCTGCTGTTTGTAATTGTTCCTGTTATGGTGCAGCTAAATATATGTCGCTATACAAATTATTCATGTCGAAATAACTCAAGTAGGGATTTGTCGAGGCCTGTTCAGAGGCCAATATTCAGTCCAAAGTCTGCAAAAATATATCTGTAATAATTCCCAAATAGACATTAAAAATGTCACAGCTCATAATATTCAAATTGTTTGGCTTTGTAGTTTTGACTTGCATTTCACTGATGAAAGAACCAGTTGTGGTACATGCTGTTTTGCTTAGTTTCACATGGGTGTGTGGGCAGCTTCTGTTTTTTACCCGAGGCGCTTTCTGTCAAGTTGCTTTGTAACTTACTAGTAGGTATTAAGTTTGCCAGAGAAGGACACTAAAATGTGAATATATACGTGAATATGATTTACTAGGGCTGCAATGAATCGCCCAGACCTCGATTCGATTTTCTATATTGGACCTTCGATTTGATCATTTTTGATTCGGCTCTTCATACAAATAAAAGCATCAGATTTCATTTAACTCTCAGAGTTGGCTTTTTTAGTGTGAAATCCATCATAAACTTGGCGATGTCTACTAACAACATTTCTCATTGGATAAATAGCCTGGCATCAACCAATCAAGTTTCTCTCCATCGCCCTTGTTGACAACAGACAAGCTAACTATTAAATGTGAGGAGAGATATTTGTGGTCCCACATTTGCTTGTATTAGCCGAGTTGGATCTAAGTCGATGTAACACGTGTTCTGATTGGATAGAAAGAAGGGAGATAATTCGTGTTGCGATTTTTTTCCGCTAAGGGATTTTATGAGAACTGGAAAATATGGTCGGATTAGAACAGAGGTTTGTAGGAAGATATGACAAGTGACCTCTGTGGGAAGAGAATGACCGAATCATTGTTTTACTGAATGAACCTTTGGCACCTTATCATGTTGATTGTCATCCATCCTTGGGGTCTGTCATAAACTTTTGAATTTGGACATCTATGGAACCAAAAGGCCAAAGAACCTTTGTATAGGTTATCCAAATGATGCCATCTGATGATCTGTGTAAACTGTTTGTCAGATTTGATTCTAAACATGGCTGCAATGTCGGCCATATTGAAAATGTATTTTTGACCAAACAAAGTAGTTTCTAAATGTTGTGTTATCACATCACTTGCATCATGTTTTCATCCGTATTTTGAAAGTTGGTCTTTTGACCAAGAAAGAATGCATATGTTCAAGCATTAATGATAAGTCGCTGTGTACACTATATTCATACCATGTGTCAAAACTTATATTACTTACTTTTATAGATTCTTGTTGACTGTGCCACTGTTTAGATGTGACAGATTATCAGTATGAAATCAGATGAGCTACAACATCTTTATTTTGTCCCTGAGATGGCTGTAACTTTGTTCCAAACTGCCACCCATGTCGATTCCTGTAATTGCATGAAACAGGCAGTTTTTCTCATCATGGTGATTTTTTTGTATTTTGACAAAAGGTTAAAATAATTATGAAAGCTGAAATGTTAATAAACAGCAAGGAAATCAAGTTCAAAATGATAAGCTTCTCTTTATGTTGTTTACTCTGAAACTACAACACATGCCTCTGAGTGTGAGTCATTGTTGATACCGTTTTTACAATCTACACCTAATTTTACAGCATTTGAGCTGTCATAGGTGTGTCGAGGGAGCGTAACGTGATACCCTTCCACGATGACTGTGGGACCTGATGTGTCGGTGGGACATGTGGAGTCTTGCTTGCATCTAGCTAGGTGTTCATATGTGTTTGTCCTTTGAAGGGTACTCCAGCTTGATCTGACTGTTATATTAATAGGTCTGGTTTTCAAGGAGTGGTTACCAGGGCCAGGTTGTAGGGTCAGGGCAGGTTATTTAGTCTTTTTATTTCCATGTAATTCTACTCCCTCTTCCTCTAGAGTGATGACCTGTGCAGTAATTGGCAGAAACTGGAAATGTGAAAAGCTGTTAGGAGTTGTTAACATAGCTAACAATGGTAAAGAGTAAATTGCTGCCTTTTGTCCAGTGTTTGGTCTAGAACACTGTTGTGTCATTCAGGAAGGCTGTAGAAATGAAGTGATTATTTACATGGAAAATAGTCTGTATGCGAGAAAATCTCTTATGTGACAGAACAAATGAGCCTTTTCAATTGTAGCAGGATCACAATCTTTAAGAAAATATGGATATTACATTTATTGTAGTATTCTAGTAGATGTGTATAGATTTACATTTTACATGTAGTAGAGAGTGTACTCCATAGTATTGGATTAATTCAGATTATAACACAAAATCGTTTGGAACATATCTTTCATATATTATTAGGGTAGTAACTAGTATCATTCACAACCTAATAGGTGATATATGCATGATCCAGGGGCTCACATGAATGTTTTATAGTGCTTATGTATACTGTTCAAAAGAAGTTAGAAAACCCACAATATAAATTCCTGACAAATTGTTGACAGTCGTATAAAAAATGAAATTTGATGTTCCTTTACTTCCTTGGAGTAGTATATCATTATTAATGTGCTCGTTAGTCCTGGAAAACTATTTTGTGTTGTCAATGTTTGTTTGATGAATAATAACTGGCATGATCTTTATGACAAGTGCGTAGCTGGATTTGAGTGGGCTGTGGGACAGCCTTGTGATTAATGTGTTTGCTCATCACACTGAAGACCAGGGTTTGATTCTCACATGGGCACAT